GAACAGACTGGGTGGCTCATGGTTGGGCATCAACCCATGAATCAAGAGGTCATTGGTTAGATTCTGGTCAGGGTACATGCCTGGGTTGCAGGCTCCATCCCCAGTAGGGGGTGTGCAGGAGGCAGTCAATTGATGATGTTTCTCTCTCAGAGATGTTTCTATCTCTCTATCCTCCCTCTTCCTCTAAAAATCAATAAAAACATATTAAGAAAAAGAAAAAAAGAAAGTGACTAGAATGATAGACTCTAGAATCCAAGCTGGATAAAGTAAAGACTGAATAAAGAAAAAGTAGGGGTGTTGTCAATGGAATAAACTAATGCAGGGAATTCTGTTTAACATGACTGAACACATCAGTTTGCCCCCAGGTCTCTTTCAAAAATTCATTAAAGCCCGGCTGGTTTGACTCAGTAGATAGAGCACCAGCCTGTGGGCTGAAGGGGCCTGGGTTCGATTCTGGTCAAGGGCATATGCCCAGGTTGAGGTCTCGATTCCCAATAGGGGGAATGCAGGAGGCAGCTGATCAATGATTCTCACCATTGGTGTTTCTATCTCTCTCTCCCGCTCCTTTCCTCTCTGAAATACACACACACACACACACACACATATTAAAATCCATTAAACTCAGAGTAAAGAGTAAAAACAAAAACAAAAAAGGGCAGGTTAAGGGGGTGGGGAAATCCCACAAGAACAGAGAATGGAAACATGATTGATAATAGTAAAACTGTTGAAACTAGAAAGCTAATGGATGAGTGTAAAGTGTCTTAGGAGGTCTGAGAAAGCTGGAATAAGTCTAGGAGCAAGGAGGGAGGATGGGATGAGAATGCCACAAAGGGACAAACTAATTCATAAGCAAAATCCCAAATAGGCTCAGAAATTAGAAGTACCATGTACAGCAGAAATACAGGTAGAACAGGAAACAAAGGAACGAGTGGGTTCAAAATCTGTATAAACATATTCCGAGATTTTCCTCCTGACTGTGAGCAGCAGGCTACTATTCTCCATCACAGAAGACTCAGGTTTACTTGGGGAAGACTGCATGCAGAGTGTGACTCTGGACTCCTGGACAACAGGTTCACATAAAGGTCAGGGCCAACATACTGAAAATGGGTGATTAGATTAAAGCCAAATACTTAGTGAATCCACCCTCTAGCTCTGTGGTTGACAAACTGCTGCTCACAAGCCACATGCGGCTCTTCGGCCCCTTGAGTGTGGCTCTTCCACAAAATACCACAGCCCTAGCTCATTCTCCACCTGCCATCAGCATTTATAATCCCCAGGCAGACTAGAGGACTTCTCTCAAAGTAAAAGTGACCCAAGAGAAAGACAATGAGAGAGAAAGGGTGAAGGTTACCTTCTCAACTGCCCAACAAATGAGGGAGTGATCCAAGAAAAGACCATCGGATCCAAAACTTAGCGCATCCAACACAAGAAAGAAGTGAAAGGAATACCCTAGGACAGTGGTCAGCAAACTCATTAGTCAACAGAGCCAAACATTAACAGTACAATGACTGAAATTTCTTTTGACAGCCAAATTTTTTAAACTTAAACTTCTTCTAATGCTACTTCTTCAAAATAGACTCTCCCAGCCCATGGTATTTTGTAGAAGAGCCACACTCAAGGGGCCAAAGAGCCACATGTGGCTCGAGAGCCGCAGTTTGCCAACCACGGCCCTAGAATAGTGTTAAATTGAAATCCCATGACAATAATGATGCAACATAGTAGAGAGCAACAATTAGAGAGCCAGATTTGAGCAAGTTTGTCAAACTTCATGATGAAGTTTGTAATGAATTACTACAGATAAATAGAAAAGAAAGCAAATGTGGGGGAGGAAAAAGCAAGTTTTTCATAAGAAAAAAAAAAGTTGCACAAAATGGGAAAAATTATCATGATATATATGCTACATGGTTTAATTCACAATGTGTATTGATTTAACAAAAAATGTAATGTAATTATGTTAGAGAGAATGAATGAAAGAAAATGGAGGGAACCTAAACGCTCATCTTTCATAGGAGAAAGTCTATACATAACTGCTTTTTCATCCTAGGGAGTTTTCTCGTAAAATTTCCATTTACAACTTTTTAAAAAAGTTTTTAAAGTTTAGCTTTGATATTTTTAAGTTATAAAAAATAAAACTTTAATTTTTATAAAAATTAAAATTACATAAGGGCCGAAGCCGGTTTGGCTCAGTGGAAGAGTGTCAGCCTGGGGACTGAAGGGTCCCGGGTTCGATTCCGGTCAAGGGCATGTACATTGGTTGCGGGCACATTCCCGGTAGGGGGTGTGCAGGAGGCAGCTGGTCGATGTTTCTCTCTCATCGACGTTTCTAACTCTCTATCTCTTTCAATTCCTCTCTGTGTAAAATCAATAAAATATATATATTTTTTTAAATAATAAAATAAAATAAAATTACATAAGGCTTCAAAAATAAAAACTACTATATGAGGTTACCTGAGATTCTTTTTTTTTTTTAAATATATTTTATTGATTTTTCACAGAGAGGAAGGGAGAGAGATAGAGAGCTAGAAACGTCGATGAGAGAGAAACATCAACCAGCTGCCTCCTGCACACCCCCTACCGGGGATGTGCCCGCAACCAAGGTACATGCCCTTGACCGGAATCGAACCTGGGACCTTTCAGTCCGCAGGCCAACGCTCTATCCACTGAGCCAAACCGGTTTCGGCATACCTGAGATTCTTGAGCCAACAAAATATCTGAGTTAGTGATTTGGGGACCTGGTAACGTTTTAATAATGACAAGACCCAGGGTGTGAGTGTGACCAGGTGATTGAGAAAGAGAGGTAAAGGAATGAAGAGGCCCATGTGTTAGCTGAATTGTCAATCCAGATGCTGAAGCCGCCTAAAAATGGTATGTAGCTGTGCTAGGTATTTTCCAGGTCCACACTACCACCCTTTCTATCATTTTTTTCTACCCTAATATACACTCTAATAACAGGTCCCCATGTCCCCTAGCTTCTGGGTTGGTTTTCCCATAGGGAATTATAGGGTCAAGACATTTGGCCAAGACATTCATTCCTCCAGCTTCCTCCCTGTAAAGTCACCTCATGCTGGCTGTGTCCCTTCAACCAAAAACTACCACTCATCTCAAGGTAGCCAACTCCATACTCGAGAATTCAAGGAACCACTCTCTCTCCTATCCCTTCCAGCCTACAAATATTAACAATTTGGCTACAGGTTACAACACTACCTCTTTAGGTGCCACATCTTTATAAAGTACCTTTAAAAAATAAAGCCTCCTCAAATTATCCTATTTCAAGTGTGCCAACTGTTTCCTGTTTGGGACCCTGTGTGATGAGGTCATAGGATGACAACAGTGATAATGATGTAAGGTTGTAACAGTAGTGTCAAGTAATAAAACTGACTACCATTTAAATAATAATTACTAACATATTTTGAGTCCTGGGTTCCAAGAACTTTTCTTGGGAAGTATTAACTCATTTAATCATCACAAGCATCCTATGTGACAGAGATTTTTTTACGTTTCATTTCCATATACCAAAGCTTCACACAGTTGCTGGTACATGGTATGCACTCAAACACTGGTTTAAAATACACACAACAATAAGCAGGCTTAATAGGGAAGAGCTGACTTTTGGCATGACAGCATTTCTCCTATTTACTTTAAAAACTATATGATAGTTAAGGACTTATCAGTCCCCTAACTAAACAGTATATAAGACCACATGTGAATGATTTTCTTGTGTAACCTACAGTGACACTTATTTCTTTATCTTCCCATGAGGTTATCCAGCACGTGGACCTCCACCTGGTTTTTTAAGTATAATATAAAAATTATAAATTTTAAAATAATATTCACTTACAGCATAGGGGCTGGTTTAAAAGAGTAGAGTACCTTTAAGTACCAATTATTAGTTAAAAAAGAAAGAAAGAAAGAAAAGAAGGAAGGAAGGAAGGAAGGAAGGAAGGAAGGAAGGAAGGAAGGAAGGAAGGAAGCCAAAACCAGTTTGACTCAGTGGATAGAGCGTTGGCCTGTGGATTGAAAGGTCCCAAGTTCAATTCTGGTCAAAGAAATGTATCTTGGTTAGTGGGGTGTGCAAGAGGCAGCTGATCGATGTTTCTAACTCTCCATCCCTTCTCTCTTCCTCTCTGTAAAAAATCAATAAAATATTTTTTTAAAAAAGAGGGGCAAAATTTTTAACAAAATTAGAAATAAAAAATGGTGAAGTCAGCAAGTACACACATACACACACAGCAAAAGTGAATACAAAAATTAGCTAAGGAAAAGTAAGACCTGTGCATCAAAGAATGCAGAAATACAATAGGTATAAAAAGTTGCGATTGTTCGGAATTATCAAAGCAGCTACGATACCCATATCTTATAAAGAACCGAAAAGACAAGGCGGGAGAACCAATATGCAGCAAACGAGAACTGCAAAGATTTTCCTGAAATCGCACTGATTTTTTTTTTTTTAATCTTTAAATTACCTTGCACTCCAAAACACAGGCAACAATTCACGTGTACAAGAATCTAGACATCTGAGAAGTTTCGAGAATAATGAACTCAAACTAGAGGGAAACATCAGCAAGAACAGTGAGGTGTAAGCTACGACGGGGAAGGAATGGCCAGACGCAAGACTTGGCCACCGAGCCTCAAGTGGAAGATAGAGAATGCCTTAGGGCTGGATCTGGTCGAAGGAAGACAAAACGGAAAAGCACGGCCATGTAAGAAGCAAGGAGCACGGGTAAAACTTAAGAGAGGGCCACATGGTTGCCCCTGTCAAGTGTGGGACCCACTCATCAGTTTCCATGAGACGGGGAGAGGGCCGGTGCGCCGCCGGCCAGCAGTTCCCAGTTTCCAAAAAGCCGCGCAGCGCGCAGCAGCTCCGCAGCCCCACCCCGCGGGAGCAGCTCCTCCCCGAGGAGGATCTCACGAGGCCCACGGCGGGTTCGGGCTCCGGCTCCAGCCTAGTTCCCACCCCGCCCTGGCCCCGCGGGGCAGAACGGCCTCTCCGGGCCCCTCACCGAACGCTGCAGCTCCCCAAGCCAAAACGAGGCGCGCTCCTTTCCGCTGGGATCCGGGTCGTGGTAAAGCGCCTGCACGGCCTGGTACACGAGCTGCAGGGTCGGCTTGGCTCCTTCCATGGTGGTGGCGGCGGCGGCGGCGGCAGTGACGGCTCTCGCTCTTGTCCCAGGCTCCTCCGGTTGCTCCGCCTTCGCCCTTCCTCACTGTGTCGGCCACAGCCGCTCCCCGACTGGCGCCATCTCTTCTTTGGCCGTTATCAGGGCAGAGGGGTTCCCGGTGGAAGTCGCCCCTCGGAAACAGAGGTTAGGTCGTATTCAGGTTCCTGGCCCTTTCTCCGATCCTCCCATGAGACCCCCCACTTCTGAGTCCTGAAGCCGGTGCTCGCCTCTTCCACCCACGATTGGCCCCCAGAAGTCCGGCCCAGCACCACACACACACCACGCAGGGTAGCTAAACCGCGTTAACCCGGACCGGAAGCGGCAATCCGGATTCCTTTGGCACACTTCCGCCCGGTGCAGTGCAAAAGGCCTCCTTCCCCGCACTCCTTTTCAAACCTCCCCGCCCTCTCCCGGAAGTGGCCCTGCTGGGCTGGGAGCCGGAAAGAAAGTGCTCGCAGGCGGTTCCCTCGGTTCCTGGCGTCAAACCGGAGCCTTAGCACTGACTGGTGTCCCATACAGGAGCCGCTCTCCGCTTCTTGGCAATGAATCGAGGTGTTTGCTCTGCCTCCCGACTTCTCCATCCCTCTCCAGATAATCCTTTCTGACTCAAATGGCCAAAACACGTCAGTTCAACAACCATCGGAGGCGTGCCCACTTGTCCTGGAAATCCAATGACTTAAGACTGACTAGTGAAGGAGACAGACACGTAAATAACTGTTTTCTATGCTGACTAGTGAAGGAGACAGACACGTAAATAACTGTTGAACAAACCTGAAATTTGTTTAAATGAAATAAATCCAAAAGGCCTAGAGTTCCTGTTCAGAAATCTTTTTCGCTAAGTTTTTACACCCCCAAAGGATATTTCTTTCTGTTGCTCAGGACATTCTGAACTCCAGAGTATTTGCATACCTTTAAGGTCATTCCCACATTGAATTGTATTTATGGGTATTCCTTTCTTCCATATTAAATATTAGTGGTCTAACAATACTCAATTCACAAAAGAAAATAAAGATACCGAAATCTGTACTATAGAAGGAATCTGGTACAAAAGGCAGTAGTATGTTAAAGGATTTCCCAATATTCTTCTATTCCTTTGCAATAATAAATGCTACTATATGATGGATGCTTACAACATGCAAAGCACTTTAGTTACAAGATCTCAATTATTCCTTTAACACTGAACCAATTAAACCCCCATTTTAAGAAATAAGATGGTAGTAATGTAATTTGCCCAAAGTTACACAGTTCCTAAATGAAAGTCGGCATTTGACTTTAAATCAGTCCCTATTACTCTGTTATCTAGTTTGTTTCTGAATTGTTACTTTCAAGGGATTGTCACTTCCAGCATCACAATGAAAAGTGTTGTTGCACAGAGTTGATATAATTCTGGAAAAGAAAAGAAACTTGATATTTTGGTTACCTAATTCATCTATTCATTAAAAAAAGATTTAGTAGGACCACCTTGGTCTCTGCCCTCATAGAATTTATAGTATATCTAGAGGCCTGGTGCACAAAATTCGTGCACGGGGGCGGGGGGGGGGGCGGTGTTGTCCCTCAGCCCAGCCTGCACCCTCTCCAATTTGGGATTCCTCGAGGGATGTCTGACCATTTAGGCTCCATCCCACCGGATCTAAATGGGCAGTTGGACATCCCTCTCACAATCCAGGGCTACTGGCTCCCAACTGCTCACCTGCCTGCCTTTCTTATTGCCCCTAACCACTTCTGCCTGCCAGCCTGACCACCCCCTAACCACTCCCATGCCAGCCTGATTGATGTCTAACTGCTCCCCTGCAGGCCGTTTGCCCCCAACTTCCTTCCTCTGCCAGTCTGGTCACCCCTAACTGCCCTTGCCTGCAGGGTTGATTGCCCCCAATTGCCCTCCCTTGCAGGCCTGGTCCCTCTCAATTGCCCTTCCTTGCAGGCCTGGTACCTCCCAACTGCCCTCCCCTACTTGCCTGATACCCCACAGCTGCCCTCCCTTGCAAGCCTGGTCCCACCCAACTGCCCTCCCCTGCTGGCCATCTTGTGGTGGCCATCTTGTGTCCACATAGGGACAGGATCTTTGACCACATGGGGCTAGCCATATTGTGTGCTGGAGTGATGGTCAATCTGCATATTATTCTTTTATTAGATAGAATAGAGGCCTGGTGCACAGGTGGGGGCCAGTTGATTTTCCCTGAAGGGTGGCCCAGATCAAGATGGGGATTCTCTCGAGGCATAGGGTGGCCTGAATTAGGGGCCTGTGGTGGTTTGCAGGTTGGCCATGCCCTGTGGCAACCCAAGTATCTGGGATATATTTACTTCCTACAAATGAAACTTTGTAGCTTGGAGCCAAGTCAAGCCTCCTGCTTGCTCCATGGCAGTAGCCGTTTCTTGTTTACCTTCTATAATTGAAACTTTGTAGCCTGGAGTGGAGGCTTAGGCCTGCTGGGGGAGGAAGGGGTGCTTGGCTTCTTCCGTTGCCAGAGAAACCCAAGCCTCTGTAGCCACAGCCATCTTGGCTGGGGTTAATTTGCATATGTGCTCTGATTGGCTGTGGGTGTGGCTTGTGAGCAGAGTGATGGTTAATTTGCATATTACTCTTTTATTAAGTAGAATTTCAAAGAAAGATCAGCAATTCAATACAGTTTAAAAGCTCTATGAATATCCACAAGCAAAAGAATGATGTTATATTACCTTATACCAGATACAAAAAACAAACAAACAAACCCTAGATCCTAAATGTAAATGCTAAAACTATAAAACTCTTGGAAGAAAACAGAAATATATTTTCATGACCTTGGATTAGGCAATGTTTTTCTTAGATATGAAACCAAAAACACATTAATAAAAGAAAAAATAGATAAATTGGACGTTAAAACCAAAAACTTTGGTGTGTCAAAGAACACTTGAGAAAGTGAAAAGAGAATCCACAAAATGAGAGAAAATATTTGCAAAACATATATCTGACTAGAGGCCTGGTGCACAACATTTATGCACAGGGCAGGGGGTGCCTCTCAGTCCAGCCTGCACCCTCTCCAATCTGGAACCCCTTGAGGGATGTCCAACCACCTGTTTAGGCCTGCTGGGATTGGGCCTAAATGAGCAGTCAGACATCCCTTTAACAATTCAGGACTGCTGTCTCCCAACTGCTCGCCTGCCTGACTGCCTGATTGTCCCTAACCACTTCTGCCTGCCAGCCTGATTACCCGCTAGTCACTCATCTGCCAGCCTGATAGATGCCTAACTGCTCCCAGCCAGCCCATTTGCTCATAACTGCCCTCCCATGCCATCCTGGTCACCCATAACGGTCCTCCCCTGCCAGTCTGGTTGCCTCTAACTATCATCCCCTGCAGACCTGGTTGCCCCCAACGGCCCTCCCCTGTAGTCCTGGTCACCCCTAACTGCCCTCCCCTGCTGGCCCGGTCACCCCTAACTGCCCTCCCTGCTGGCCTGATTGTCCACAACTGCCTTTCCCTACAGGCCTAGTCTCCCCCAAATGCTCTCTTTGCAGGCCCAGTCACCCCTAATTGCTCTCCCTGCTTGCCCACAACTGCACTCCCCTGTAGGCCTGGTTCCCCCCCTTCCCACCCTCCCCACAACTTCCCTCCCCTACAGATCTGGTCCCCCCCAACTGCCCTCCCCTGCAGACTATCTTGTGCTGGCCATCTTGTGTCTACAAGGAGGTGGCCATCTTGTGCCTTGGAGTGATAGTTAATTTGCATATTACTCTTTTATTAGATAGAATAAGGGATTAGTATCCAGAATATATAAAGAACTCTTACAATTTAACAATGAAAAGATAATTCAATTTTTTAAAAATCCTCACCAAAGGATTTTTTCCCCCACTGATTTTTAGAGAAGTGGAAGGGAGAAGAAGAGACAGAGAAACATCGATGTGTCAGCTGGTTCCCTTCCATACACTCCCAGACCAGAGCCAGTGATTGAGCCTGCAACCAAAGTATATGTCTTGGCCAGAATCAAACCTGGGACCCTTCAGTCTGCAGGCATAAAATCAGCTAGGACAATAATTCAATTTTTTTTTAAGATGCCTCTGAAGTTCTTTTATTTTTTTTTTAATATATTGTATTGATTTTTTACAGAGAGGAAGGTAGAGGGATAGAGAGCTAGAAACATGGATGAGAGAGAAACATCGACCAGCTGCCTCCTGCACACCCCCCACCAGGGATGTGCCCACAACCAATGTACATGCCCCTGCCTGGAATCAAACCTGGGACCCTTCAGTCCACAGACCAACGCTCTATCCACTGAGCCAAACCGGTTTTGGCATATTTCAATTTTTTAAATAAAGGACATGTTTCTTTCATATCTAAGAAAATAGACAAAATAGATGTTTCTCCAAAGAATATATACAAATAAACATGAAAAGATGCTCACCATCATCATCAATCATCAGGGAAATACAAATCCTATATAGTAATAAAGAGGGAATATACGCACCTCAAGGTGCGCCCCTGCCCCATCACTCTGCCACAGCGGAGGGGGCGTTTCCATAACACAAGATGGTTGCACCCACAATGGAGGCCAAATGCCCATAAGGAAACTTATCAAGCAACCAGCAAGCCATGGGGCTTGACAGGGGGCCTCAGGTCATGCCCCAACCTCGTGCCAGAATGGGGACCTGAGGCATGCCCCCACCCAGCGGGGCTTGATGGGGGTTTCCATAAAAGCTTAAATCTGCCATGGGATGGTGTTTGTGACTTGGGGTGAGTTTCCAGTTATACTAAGCATGGCTTGTAGCCCCACAGAGTCCTCTTTAGTTCTCTTTTCTCATCCCCTGCCCCCTACTCCTCCACCCTCCAAACCCCAGGTGCGGTGAGCCCTTGCACTCTGTGGAGAAGTTACGCAGACAGCATTGCAGAGGCCAAGGCTCCCCCGCTTCTGCGCCCCCCACCCCGCCCCCAACACCTATTCTTTTCTCGTTTGCAATCTCTTATTTACTCCATCATGCCTACTGACAA